AAAATGAACCCATCATGACTGTGGTATCTTCATTTTTGTCTTAGAAAACCAAGCACCTTGCATTCCTGCCACTGCCTTATGTGGCTCCTATTTTCAGGACCTGGGAGGCACCCATGGCCCACGGCCTTAGCCTCGGGGGATAGCCTGGTGGATGTGAAGTACCCTGAACTGCCAAGAGTGTGGTGAGCTCTAAGACAGACGAGTCTGGGACAGGGGGTAGGAGCGGCAGAAGGGGGCCTTGAGGGGCCCTCTCAGAGGAGCTAACAACTCAGGGGGGTCTTGAAGAGCTATTGAGTTGGCGGGAGGCCAGAGGGCATTCCTGAAATGTGGCTGAAGTCCTGGGATGAAGACGGGACAGAGACAGGTGCAGCACCTGTCGGGGCTTGGTTCCACCCTGAAGCTGAGACCCTCTTCTCCCCCCATGGAGCAGCTATGAGCATGTCCATGAATACAGCACTCCCAGTCACGTATTTATGGCTTCTGCTTCTTTATGGTTTAAAATTGACTTTTCTCTGTAGGTGGGGAGGAATCTTGTTTGCACTTTTGCTGCTTCTTTTTTTTGGGGGGGTGTCCTCTTGTTTAGCTACCTTTACCTGCTAAATAACACACTCACCCTCTCTTGCTTGTCTTGTCCACATTTTGATCATGTCAATTGACTTTTTTTTCCCACTTAGAGATTCAGGTACATGGATCCAACCATGCACTAAGGCAATGCATTTTTTTAAAAAATTATTTGAAAGGCAGAGTTATAGAGGGGCAGAGGCAGAGAGAGGGAGAGAGGTCTTTCATCCACTGGTTCACTCCCCAAATGGCTGCAATAGCTGGAGCTGAGCTGATTCAAAGCCAGGAGCCAGGAGCTTCTTCTGGGTCTCCCATGCAGGTACAGGGGCCCAAGGAGTTGGGCCATCTTCTACTGCTTCCCAGGTTATAACAGAGAGCCAGATCAGGAGTGGAGCTGCTAGGACTCGAACCGGTGCCCATATGGGATGCCGACACTGCAAGCGGCAGCTTTACCTGCTACGCCACAGTGCTGACCTCATCAATACATTTCTAACAAAACACAGGCACACTCATAAGCTTGTGCGACATGACTTTATAAAGAAGTTTCTTCTTAATTTCTCTCCAGAGTTCACTGACCCTAAAGGAACTCACCAATCCAGAGAACCGGTTTCAAAGACCAGGAATAAAGACATGTAAAGACATTCCTAAATATATTTGTCTGGCAATTTCCTAATATTAAAAACCAGTGAACAATGTAATGAGGACTCTATTTCACACTGCAAATGAGCCATGGCACTCAGCGGTGGACCACAGGAAATACTGCTTTCTTTATATGTACATCACGTTATACTCTACACTTCAGAATTCCCAGTTAAGTAGTCTAGGTGAGGTGGTACATGAACAATATACTGGAATGCTATTTATAAAATACCAGAACTTTCTGGTTCCAGTTTTTTGCTCAGTAGTTGCCCTACGAGTGTCTAAGATACTCCAAAAGAACTTATATCCGGAGGCTGGCGCCGTGGTGCAGTGGGTTAATCCTGTGCCGGCATCCCATATAGGCATTGGTTCTAGTCTCGGCTGCTCCTCTTCCTATCCGGCTCTCTGCTATGGCCTGGGAAAGCAGTAGAAGATGGCCCAAGTGCTTGGGCCCCTGCACCCGCATGGGAGACCAGGAAGAAGCTCCTGGCTCCTGGCTTCGGATCGGCACAGCTCTGGCTGTTGCAGCCATTTGAGGAGTGAGCCAACAGAAGGAAGACCTTTCTCTCTGTCTCTCCTTCTCACTGTGTGTAACTCTACCTCTCAAATAAATAAAAAAGAACTTGCATCTGTGGGCACACACTTTATTCTCCCCCCACAAAATTCATAATATGCTGTGGAATTACTAATAACTCACCTAAATAGGGGCAAATGATGCCAAAGAAGAGCAAAAATGGAACGGAAAAGGAACACAACACATTTATACCATCACGTACAGGAAGCCAAAGCCGGAGACATGGAATTTCAGCAACTAAGTTTATTTATTGCTAAGTGGAATTCTTCTGAACTACCTACAAATTATGTACAAAGGCCTGTGAGACAGGTTTTCGTAGAACAGCAGCCTGTTCTGACTCCTAGCACAATTCAAAGGTGAAACATAAGATTTCTTTTTTTCATAAATAAAAAAAAAAGACAACTGGTGAAAGTGTTTCACACAATACAGACTGACCCTGGTTGTGCATGTGAGGGCTGTTGGTTTAGTTTAATTTTGTCACACACCAAGAATTGTCACAATAGTTAAGAGGAGGGGAGGCAAGCTAACAAATGTCACCAGTACAACAGTGCGTTTCCATCTGAGGGCAGTTGCTGCTTTGCATCTGCCAGACTACAAGACTGCTAAGGTAGACACCTGAATTCATGCTTCTAATAAGCCTGTTGGGCCGGCGCCGTGGCTCACTAGGCTAATCCTCCGCCTTGCAGCGCCGGCACACCGGGTTCTAGTCCCGGTCGGGGCACCGGATTCTGTTCCGGTTGCCCCTCTTCCAGGCCAGCTCTCTGCTGTGGCCCAGGAGTGCAGTACTTGGGCCCTGCACCCCATGGGAGAACAGGATAAGTACCTGGCTCCTGCCATCGGATCAGCGTGGTGCGCCGGCTGCGGTGGCCATTGGAGGGTGAACCAACGGCAAAGGAAGACCTTTCTCTCGGTCTCTCTCTCTCACTGTCCACTCTGCCTGTCAGAAAAAATAAATAAATAAGCCTGTTGATCTGATCTTCCCTAAGGCCAGCGTCTCCACCCTCTGCAAAACAAGTGGTCTTTTCTTTTCTTTTTCTCTTTTCTGACAGGCAGAGTTAGACAGAGAGAGAGAGAGAAAAAGGTCTTCCTTCCGTTGGTTCACCCCCCAAATGGCCGCTATGGCCGGCACGCTGCGCCAATCCGAAGCCAGGAGCCAGGTGTTTCCTCCTGGTCTCCCATGGGGTGCAGGGCCCAAGCACTTGGGCCATCCTCCACTGCCTTCCTGGGCCACAGCAGAGAGCTGGCCTGGAAGAGGAGCAACTGGGACAGAACCGGTGCCCCAACCGGGACTAGAACATGGGGTGCTGGCGCTGCAGGCGGAGGATTAGCCTAGAGAGCCATGGCGCCGGCTAAACGAGTGGTCTTTTCTTCATCCCACCTTGTGGACAAGATCATTTGAAGACCACAGGAAGTTATTTTCCTCCTTGAAGTGTGTTCCAATAGAACGGATCTCATGAATCAGATCTTCCATGTGGATGATATGCACATTTACCAAGAGAATGGGCAAGCAGCCCAGGCAATTCGCTTCTTATTGATTTGGCCATAGCTACACGTGCAAATCAGCTCACTTACTGAGGGGCCCCCATGCCACATGCAGTACCACAATCCTCAGCATGCCAATCAAGGCCTTGCTGAGCTTAACACAGGTGCTGCTTAAGCTTTGGTGAAGGGCCAGCGCCGTGCAGCACCGGCACACCGGGTTCTAGTCCCGGTCAGGGCGCCGGATTCTGTCCCGGTTGCCCCTCTTCCAGGCCAGCTCTCTGCTGTGGCCCAGGAGTGCAGTGGAGGATGGCCCAAGTGCTTGGGCCCTGCACCCCATGGGAGACCAGGAGAAGCACCTGGCTCCTGGCTTCGGATCAGCGCGGTGCATCTGTTGCAGCCGTGGCGGCCATTGGAGGGTGAACCAACGGCAAAGGAAGACCCTTCTCTCTGTCTCTCTCTCTCACTGTCCACTCTGCCTGTCAAATAAATAAATAAATAAATTTCCTTAAAAAAAATCTGGTGAAGGCCAAGAAGCACTTTTTGGACTTTGGGGCTCACGCCGTTGGTCCCTCTGATCCTGTTGACAAATGCCAGTTTGGGTTCTGCAGGTGCATCGAAGTTGCCAGCTTTCCTGGCACACTCGCCATCCGAAGCTCAGTTCTGTCCCTCTGCCTGTATCTGGTATCTGTTGTGCTGGGACTCAGCCTTTTCACTGAGAAGCTTCCTCCTTGCCTTTTGAAGCAATCTTTTTTTTTTTTTTTCAAAGATTTATTTTTTTATTTATGTGAAAGACAGAGATACAGAGAGAGGTAGAGACACGGAGAGAGGTCTTCCATCTGCTGGTTCACTCCCCAGATGGCTGCAACGGCCGGAGCTGCGCCGATCCGAAGCCAGGAGCCAGGAGCGTCTTCCAGGTCTTCCACGTGGGTGCAGGGGCCCAAGCACTTGGGCCATCTTCTACTGCTCTCCCATCCATAGAAGGGAGCTGGATCGGAAGTGGAGAGCCGGGACTAGAACCGGCGCCCATATGGGATGCCAGTGCTTCAGACCAGGGCTTTAACCCACTGTACCAGAGTTCCGGCCTAGAATTAAATTTTTAAAAATATGGTAAATAACCTAACATTTGCCATCGCAGCCATTTTAAAGTGTGCAGATCCGTATCAGGCACATTCCCATTGCTGTGTAAGGAAGCATCACCGCCATTCATCTGCAGAACCGTTGTCATCGCGTAAAACTGAAACTCTGCACCCATTCAACAACCGTTTGCTTTCCCCTCCCACACTCTTTTTTTTCCCTCCCACACATTCTACTCTTTGTCTCTATGATTTCAACCACACAGAGCACCTCATGTAAGTGGAACAAGATGCTGTTTCTTTCCTATGACCTTGTCTCACTTAGTATAATGCTCTCATACTGCAAGATATCTTTTTTTTGGAGACTGAATAACATTTTGTTACATACATACACAGCACTTTGCTCATCTGGGGGATTTTGCTTTTGTTTTGAGTGTATCTGCAGGAATGGAATTGCTGGATCCTATGGTGATTCTATTTTTATTTTTTTGAGGAACTGCCACACTTTTCCCACAATAGCTGTATCGTTGTATGGTCCCATTAACAGTGTACAAGACTTCCAATTTTTCTCACATCCTGGCCAACACTTCTTGTTTTCTTTTTTTTTTAATAATTGCAATCCTCAGGAATATATTTTTTTAATCAACCTTTTTTTTTTTTTTTTTTTACAGGCAGAGTGGACAGTGAGAGAGAGAGAGAGAGACAGAGAGAAAGGTCTTCCTTTGCCGTTGGTTCACCCTCCAGTGGCCGCCACAGCTGCAACAGATGCACCGCGCTGATCCGAAGCCAGGAGCCAGGTGCTTCTCCTGGTCTCCCATGGGGTGCAAGGCCCAAGGACTTGGGCCATCCTCCACTGCACTCCTGGGCCACAGCAGAGAGCTGGCCTGGAAGAGGGGCAACTGGGACAGAATCTGGCGTCCCGACCGGAACTAGAGCCCGGTGTGCCGAGGCTGCTAGGTGGAGGATTAGCCTACTGAGCCGCGGCGCCAGCCCAACATTTCTTTAATGATGAATGATATTGGACGTATTTTCCTGGGCTTGTTGATCATTTGTGTATCTTCTTTGGAGAACCACCTATTCAAGTCCTTTTCTCTTTTTACAATCAGGTTTGTTGCTGTGGCTGTCCAGTCGTAGAAGTTCGTTATACAGTCTGGATATGGACCTCAAGATTTGCTAATATTTTCTCTCATCCTGTGATTGAGTCACTCTGTTGTTTGTGTTCTTCGATACACAACAGCTTTTGTGATTATATATTGTCAAATTTACCTAGTTTTATTCCTATTTCTGGGTCTTTGGCATGATATCCAAGAAATCATTGCCAGGTTCAATGTCATGAAGCTTTGACAATGTAAGGAAGCTATGTGTCCATGTGTTCTAAGAGTTTTATAGTTTTAGGTCTTGTGCTCAGATCTTTAACATTTTGAGTTATTTTTTTCCTATAGTATAAGGTAAAGGTACAGGTGGATGTTCAGTTTTCTCAGTACTGTTTGTTTAAAAGACCGTCATTTCCCCCATTGAATAGTCTTGGAAACCTGCTGAAAATCATTAACACATATGTGACAATTTATTTCTGGTTTCTGTATATTCTAATCCACTATGTTAGCACCATACTATTTTGATTAGTAAAGCTTTGCAATGAGTTTTTTAAAAAGACATTTATTTATTTGAAAGGCAGAACTATAGAGAGAGAAGGGGAAAGACACACATACATGCACAGAGAAAGGGGGGGGGTCTTCCATCTGCTCATTCACTCCCCAATTGACCACAACAGCCGAAGCTGCACTGATCTGAAGCCAGGAGCCAGGAGCTTCTTCCAGGTCTCCCAGGCAAGTGCAGGAGCCCAAGGACTTGGGTCATCTTCTACTGCTTTCCCAGGCCATAGCAGAGAGCTGGATTGGAAGTGGAGCAGCCAGGACTAGAACTGGCGCCCATATGGGTTGCTGGCACCCCAGGTGGAGGTTTAACCTGCTACGCTACAGCACTGGCCCCAGATACTTGATTTTTAAAAACTCAGTTAAAAGCAGCATACTTAAAAAATAAACTCATTCTCAAACTTTTTGGTGCCAGTTCATACAAGTGCAACTTATGTTAGTATTTTGATTTGTAAGAGTTTTTATGAATAAACTTTTTACTTGGGAATAATTCTAGATCTACAGAAAAGTTGTAAAGCCTCAGTCTTTCCTAATATTTTATGTTTAATTTTTTTATTTATTGGGAGGATAGAGAGAGAAATTAAGAGCAAGAGCTCACTCTCATTCACTGATTCACTCCCCAAATGCCTGTCAGGAGCCCGGAACTCAATCCAGGACTCCCACACGGGTGGCAGGAACCCAAGTACTTGAGCCATCAATGGTCTTCCCTAATGTTAACATCTCTTGTAACCACGGGACATTTATCAAAACACAGGCATTAATTTGGGTACATTAGTAACAAGTAGACTCTAGACTTTGTTTGGATTTCACCAGTTTCTCCACTAATGTCTTGTTTCAGTTCCAGCATACCTAGTTTCACGTAGAATACTTTGATTTTTGAAAGCAGCTCCCTTGTGAAGCCCATTTAGTAATTCCAACATTTCAGATGTTGATTCTCAGGAACATCTTAGGTATTTAATCGGCAAGTGATGATGATTTTGTTCTTTCCTTCTGAATCCTTGTATTTTTATTTCATTTTTCCTGCTGTTTTGGGTAGGACTTGTAATACTTTGCTACACAGAAATAATGAGTCAGGATGGGGCCAGCATTGTGGTGCAATGAGTTAAGCTTCTGCCTGGGACACATGCATCCCACATGAGCACAGGTTCAAGTCCCAGCTGCCCCAACTCTCTGCTAACCTGCCTGGGAATGCAGCAGAGGATGGCTCAAGCACTTGGGCCTCTGCCTCCCATGTGGGAAACCCCAGTGGAGGTCCAGGCTCCTGGCTTCTGCCTGACCATTCCCTGCCTTTACAGTCATTTAGGGACTGAACCAGAGGATGCAAGATAACTCTCTCTCTCTGTCTCTCTCTCTCTGTCTCTTTCTCCCCACCCCCCGCCCCGTAACTCTGCCTTTCAGTGCCTGTTTTTTTGTTTGTTTGTTTGTTTTTTTAACAGGCAGAGTGGACAGTGAGAGACAGAGAGAAAGGTCTTCCTTTGCCGTTGGTTCACTTTCCAATGGCCGCTGCGGCCGGCGCGCTGCGCTGATCCAAAGGCAGGAGCCAGGTGCTTCTCCTGGTCTCCCATGGGGTGCAGGGCCCAAGGACCTGGGCCATCCTCCACTGCACTCCCTGGCCACAGCAGAGAGCTGGCCTGGAAGGGGGGCAACCAGGACAGAATGCGGCGCCCCGACCGGGACTAGAACCCGGTGTGCCGGCGCCGCTAGGCGGAGGATTAGCCTATTGAGCCGCGGCGCCGGCCTAACTCTGCCTTTCAAATAAATAATTGTTTTAAGAAAAAAAGGAAATAAGGAATGATTCACGTTGACCTGTTTTTCTTATTTCTGATCTCAGAGGAAGAACTTCCTACATTTTCCCATTCAGTCTGACGTTGTTGTGAGGTTCTTCAAGCATCTCTTTGATCTTGGTATGGAAGTTCCCTTTATTCCCAGTTTATGAGAAAGCATTTTTAAAAATCATGGTGAATTTCATTAAGCATTTTTTCCTGCCTCTGTTGAAATTATCATGTATATTTTCTTGTTTAATCTGTTCCTATAATGTATTAACATGAATTGATTTTCAGATGTTAAATCAAACATAATCCTAGAATGAGCCTTAACTTGTCTTAGGATGGGTTATCTTTCTTATATATGTGCTGGTAGATTCAGTTTGCTAATTTTTTTTTTTAGAATTCTTTGAATTTATGTTCACAAATGAAATTGACTTATTTTGCTTTGATACCAAGATAATACTAGCCACATGAAACAAACAGGCATGTACTTTTGTTATTGTTCTCTGGAAAAGTTTCGGTAAGACTGGAAATATTTCTTCCTTAATTGTTTTATGATTGTTTAAAGCCAAGAAATAGGAGATGGTGCTGGCATCCCAAAGCAGAGTGCCTGTTCGAGTCCTAGGTGCTCCACCTCCAATCCAGCTTCCTGTTAATGTGCCTGGGAAAGCAGTGGAAGAGAGCCTGAGTGCTTGGGTCTTAGCCACCCATTGAGGCAACCTGGATGGGGCTCCAGGCTCCTGGTTTTAGCCTGGACCAGCCCTAGCCATTGTGGCCATTTGGGGAGTGAACTAGCTAATGAAAGATCTCTTTCTGGCTCTCTCTCTCTCTCTCTCTCTCTCTGTTTTTCAAATAAATAAGTAAATCTTTCAAAAACAAGAAAAGCAGAGAGAGGAGAGAGGTATCTATGATTTGCTGGTTCACTTTCCAAACGCATATAACAGTTGGATGTGGGCCAGCCCAATGCCAGGAGCCTAGATCTCAATTCAGGTCTTCCGTGTAGGCAGCAGGGACCCAACTACTTGAGCCATCAGCTGTTGTTTCGCAGGGTGCACATTAGCAGGAAGCTGGAACTGGAAGCAGTGCTGGGACTTGAACTCAGACATTCCAGTGTAGGATGTGTGACTCAACTGGCATCTCACCTGCTGCACCAAACACCAGCCCCTATTTTTTTGTTTTTAACTGTTACATAAAAATTGTGCACATGTACAGGGTACCATGAGATGTTTTGACACATATATTGTGTAATGTTCAAGCCAGGATAAACACATGCGTCTCCTCATCTGTCACTTCTTTATGGAGAAAGCATTCCTAATCCTTAAAAATAGAGAGCTTGACGAATTTGCGTGTCACCCTGCAGAGGGGCAACACTCATCTCTGCAGCTTTCCAATTTCAGTGTGTGTGCTGTAGAAGCAGGTACCCTGCACACTCTTGGAAATTATTGTGGACCCTAAGGAACTTTTTTTAAAAAAATGTATTTATTTGAGAGATAGAGTTACAGACACAGAGAGAGAGGTCTTCCATCCACTGGTTCATTCCCCAGGTGGCCGCAATGGCTGGAGTCAGGCTGATCCAAAACCAAGAACCAGGACCTTTCTCCAGGTCTCCCACATGGGTGCATGAGCCCAAGCACCTGGGCCATCTTCTGCTTTCCCAGGCCATCAGCAGGGAGCTGGATCAGAAGTGGAGCAGCTGGGACTCAAACCGGTGCCCAAATGGGATGCTGGCACTGCAGGCAGAGGCTTAATCCACTACACCACAGCGCCAGCCCTGATACCAAGGAACTTTACATTATGTTTATACTAGTGTTCCAGATATTGATACGTACTAGACTAGAAAATAAAACAGAAAAATTAAAAATGTTTAATTTATGTAAAATAGCAATCACTAATCAATTATAATGAACATAAGTAGTACCCTTTTATGAAAAATAATTTTATTTTCTAAAGCCAAGAACACTAGTGAGAAGTATGTATTACATTTTTGCAAATCTCTTGAATTTCTGAATTAATAGAGAACAACTGATTCTCGTGTCTGCTTCTGTCTAGAAAATTTTGTAATGAGTTGTTTGGGCCAAGTGTGTAAAGAGAATTCAGCCTCACATAGGTATGTAGTTATAAAAGAAGGAATATTTTCATGGCTTTTCTGATAATTGTGGATGCAGTTCATTGATTGTACAGCAACCTTTGACATTTGGTAGTTCACAAAGTCAGTTTCAGTGGAAATGTGGACCATGTCACTAACGGTTTCATACTCTGCTATGTTACCAGCCATAGCTCTGCCTAGCACTTTGAGTGCATCTTGCAACAATGTATGATCTTGTGACATTATGCATTAGCCAGTGGGAAGACGTTGGCTCCCTGAGTTATACAGATATTCCAAACGCTGACACGTTTTATTGTAGAAGAACAATGGCTGGATCTGCATGAACTCCCAGGAAGCCAGCTGGATGGGATTCCCGCCTTCAGGGTGGGAGGGGTCTTCAGACCATGGACTCAAACTGCCACCCAATGTCAGAATGAACCTTGCCCGGAGGGAAGCCCCTCCGTGCCACCTGAACCACCAGATGACCTCACCTGTTTTGCCATTTGACCTTGGGCAAGTTGGTCTCCTCATTTCTCAAACAGAGGATTCTAATATACCAACTCAGCTCACAGAGTTATTATAAGGTCTAAGGGAGATAAGGAGTGTGAAAGTGTTTTGTAAACGGTGAGCTCACTCATTTCTATGTTAGGCAATCACACAGCTAATTAAGTATGTTAATGACAATGAACAAAGTTGGCTGCTAGAACATTCTTCCTTCCATTAGGCTAGAATCTGGGTCCTGTTATCACTTTCCCACTGGTCTAGACCTGTCTGCTAAGCTTGAGTGGTGGTTCTCATCGTGTGGTCCCTGGGCCCGCAGTATCAGTGTCACCTGGGGGCTTGTTACGCATGCAGATTCTCAGCGCCAACCCCAGAACTCGTGGGTCAGAAACGCTGGGGTTTGAGCCTTCCCAAAGTTTCAGAACCACTCATCTGATCGCAGCATCTCAAACTGTCTTTCTAAACCACGTGGGCCAACCAGACACGATGAACACTCAGTTCTGCAGTGTGCAAGCTGCTTCCTGCCCAATGGGACGGGGCCCACTGACCATGAACTTGGGCAACCCGGCAGTGCCGAGTTGCTTCAAAGGTTTCCAAACACTCTCCGTTTCTGTACTTACCCCCAGGAAGCCCGTTCACAACTTGAGTGGAACTGCTTCTCAAACACAGCGTGCACGCAGGTCACTGGGCACGTTGTCAAGGTGCATGTTGGGATTCCCTAAGTCTGGTAGGGGGGCTGAGAAACTTCATTCCCTGGCATTCGAGGGAGATTGATGCTGGACCATGGAGCACACTTAGAATAACAAGACTAGACCAGAGCGACACACAGCGTGTTCTCTTTCCTTTTTTTTTAAATTTTTTTAATTTTTTTTTTATTTTTGACAGGCAGAGTGGACAGTGAGAGAGAGAAGAGACAGAGAGAAAGGTCTTCCCTTTGCCATTGGTTCACCCTCCAATGGCCGCCGCGGCCAGCGCGAGCGTGTTCTCTTTTCTCACAAGCATCTACCAAAACACTTGCAGCTAGCTGTCCTGCTTCCATTCTGCTGCTAGCCATCACACTCACATTCCCCAGGCTTCCTCTCTAGGCAAACTTGACTGGTGCCCTCATCTGTTCCCGAGGAGGCAATGGTTCCTCACCCCCAACCCTAATCCAGGCTGGCCCTATGGATGCCACGCGCCCCAGAGCCAGCACCTCCTCTTCTCTCTTCTCCCTCCTTTTTCTGGCATTGGAGGCATTTCCTTCAGTGTGTCCTGGGCTGGCTCCAGCCCTGGGGGAATTTTCAGATGGCTCATGCTTCTGGGAAGCTCTTGAGGCTGGAAGAAGGAAATCACCGCAGGGCTGGACAGTGCAATGTGCATCTGCCTAACCTGGACCCCCGCCCGGCTGTGCCTGTTGTGCCCTCTGCCCTCTGGGCGCTCCTGGCTGACCCGTCCAGACCCAGTGCAATCCAACACCAGGATCCTGGGCTTTCCTTCCCTTCCGCCACTCACCCCTTCCGCACCCTGGGGCACTTGGGGAGAGCAGGGAGGACTGCTGACGCTGTGACCCTACGGGACACCCTTCTCAAGGCTCTCGATCCCACCACCCTGGAATCCCCTCTTCCATTTTTCAGTGCTGCCCAGAGCTAATCTCACTCCCCCAAAGCCAGCCCTGAACCAAAGCTGTCTTTCCAGAAGTTCCTGTAAAATGCATTTTGTGGGAGGGTATAGAGGGTAAACAGCTTAAAAAATTACACCAGGCCAGTACCGCAGCTCACTTGGCTAATCCTCCACCTGCGGCGCTGGCACACCGGGTTCTAGTCCCGGTCGGGGCACTGGATTCTGTCCCGGTTGCCCCTCTTCCAGGCCAGCTCTCTGCTGTGGCCAGGGAGTGCAGTGGAGGATGGCCCAAGTGCTTGGGCCCTGCACCCCATGGGAGACCAGGATAAGTACCTGGCTCCTTCCATCGGATCAGTGCAGTGCACCGGCCATAGCAGCCATTTGGGGGGTGAACCAACGGAAGGAAGACCTTTCTCTCTGTCTCTCTCTCTCACTGTCTAACTCTGCCTGTTAAAAAAAAAAATTACGCTCAGCTTTACCGGGAAATGAAGACTTAGATACATTAGAAACCCCATTTCATTGCCCTGAATGTGCTACTTTTTTTTTTTTTTGTTTTTGTGCTCATTGATTTGGACCGGCCAAGTGGAAAGAGAGAGAGACAGAGAAAGGTCTTCCTTGGCCATTGGTTCACCCTCCAATGGCCACCGCGGCTGGCACGCAGTGGCCGGTGCACCACGCTGATCCAAAGGCAGGAGCCAGGTGCTTCTCCTGGTCTCCCATGCGGGTGCAGGGCCCAAGCACTTGGACCATCCTCCACTGCACTCCTGGGCCACAGCAGAGAGCTGGCCTGGAAGAGGGGCAACCGGGACAGAATCCGGCGCCCCGACCGGGACTAGAACCCGGTGTGCCGGCGCCGCAAGGCGGAGGATTAGCCTAGTGAGCCACGGCGCCAGCTCTGAATGTGTTTTTTTTCCTGATGTCTCCGTACATTTTTTTTAGGGTTTTTTTTTTA